GAGGGTTGGTCTCTTCTCCCAGGCAACCAGCAGCAGGACAAGAGGGCACAGACTCAAGCTCTGCCAGGGGAGGGTTAGGTTGGATCTTAGGAAGAGATTTTTTACAGAGAGAGTGTTCAGGCACTGGAATGTGCTGCCCAGGGAGGTGGTAGATTCACCATCCCTGGAGGTTTTCAAGCTGAGACTGGATGTGGCACTTTGCCATGGTCCAGTAACCACATTAGGGTTGGACTCGATGATCTTGGAGGTCTTTTCCAACCCAGCTGATTTTATGATTCTATGAAGTTATAACAAGAATTCCTGTATGTCAGGACTGAATCCACTAGAAAGTAATCTTTCTTTATTTAAAGATTTTGCTTTCTTGATAATTGCATTATTTCTGCACCAGTGCTCTAAAATAGCTTTTTTAATTACATGTAATATCTGTATGAATGTATAAAGCAACTCTCAATTTTCTCAATACTCTAACGAGTATCATAACAGAAAACTGTCTTACTTTAGTATCTCCAGTTTCTTTGTCCTTGTACTGAACGCCCACGACACAGTCATCTTCCTCAAGCAGCTGTAACACAGTCCCCTCAATGAATTTTGCACTGAAATAAAATAAGAGGGGTTAAAACAGAATGAAAGGATTATTGATCCCAACATTTCAAGTCACTGGGCACAAAGGGAAAGCCAGATTTTCACTAATCTTGTCTCTGCTGAGAAAGTTTGTTTAAATTTTATAAAGAAGTATTCTTGAACACTTTCTGAAGCCACACTAAATGTCAAAAAGTGCTTGTCATTAATTTCAGTTCAACACTACCTTTGGTTTGATACCTGAGAATATTCTAAAATGAACAGCGCTTACCCTAAACCCCCTGACAGTGCAGTGCTTATCCTAAGCAGCACTTAGCAGAATCCTCAGCTGTGCTTTGGGTGCTCTGTGGCCTGGTGAGAGATGCTGAAGGAGAGATGCTGAAAGGTTTACAGCTAATAATGGTCAGAAATCAGGCAGCTGACTGAGTCATCCCTGCTAAATGGTGGGGAATGCTGACTGTGCAGGTGAGACCTAACTCCCAGGGGAATTCAGGAGCAAGATCAAAAAAAACACTTAACATGTACACTAGATAAAGGTGAGGCACCTAATTCCCAGAGCAGGCCAAACTAACCTAATCTGTTTAGGACACAGATAACCATCTTGACACCTCAGGAATTCAGGACACGCTTTTATATATATATATATATATATGTATGCTTTTGAAGTTCTGCTAACACGTTCAAATAGAGCATTCCTTGCTTCCAGCTCCAAGCCAGAGCTATTTTGGGTTCAGAAATCAAATCTCTGTACACTTATGTCCCTTGCTGGGTCTGAGCTGTTAGAACTGATCCCAGCAGTTCAGACTCAGCAGCTCAAAATGGACACTCTCTCCCCCACAAATATTTTCATGTGCAGATATAATTCCATAACTCAGAGAACTGAGGTAAATCTCCATGTGAGAACACAAAAGCTATTTTAGGCTCTCAGAATGAACACAAACAATTGAATTCATGTATTTTCTACATATCAGCCACAGAAATTTCAGAGCAGCTTGTGACTGGCTTAATTTGCCAGGCAGCAGGCAGTTAGGCTGCATCAAAACACAAATGGGTACGTGTGAGTACACTAACAAACTTCAACAGCAGCATGGCAGTGAATCAGTGTTCTGCTGATCCCATCAGCTTCAAGTTTCCTTTATAGCTGTCATTTCAGTTATCTAACTAAGTGCTCCCTTCTTTTCCTGGTTCTCTCCCATTATAAATTAGTTTATAATTACATATGATTAGTTTATTATTATAAACTAATGATGCCCTACCTCTTTACACTGCAAAACTCCTCTGAAATGAATTCACATGGCCCAATACTTATAAAGAGGCTATTAACCAGTAATAATTATCCCCTATATTTTCACAAGCTTTGAGATGAAAAACAAAGCCTCATGGCACTATTAAGAGCTCCTGATCTTTCCTGCACCTAAATACAACATACAGCTTTCTATGCAGCAATTAAAATGGCAAGCAAGGATACACAGAACAAACACTGAAGAGCACATAGAAAAAAGGGAAAGAATCCTATTCAAGTCACAAATATTAGTTTTTGTAAATTTTTGCTTCAAAAACTATACAGCTACTGTAGTTTTCCCCAGAAGTTGAGCAAACAGGTGCCAAATTTCATTGACCCTGGAGCCCCAACAAGATTTAACTTTCAGAGCTAGTAAATGTGGTTGCCATTAATTTTCACTGTACTACAGAGCTGCAATCTTTTAGTGCTGCTTTTAGTAATTCATACAACAGATGAGATAGGAGAAAGACATTTTCCAGCACAGAATAAAGACATGTCAGGTAAAAATAGAATAATGTCATACTTCCCTTGTAAGGGGACATATGGCATTATCGTATTTTTATGGGGAAAAATTATTTAGAGGGAAAAAAGACAACACAGAAAAAAAATCACACATAAAACAGCACCTAGAATCTACTGTGTTACAACCAACATTTTCTTCTAATCTCTTGTATAAAAGAAAGAAAACACTTAAGAGTAAATACCGAACACTAATTTATTTTATTATGAAAAAATAGGTGTCCTCAAGAGCCTGAAAAATACAAGTTAGTAACTGGGAAAGGCATCTTCCATTTAGTGCTCCTTTCTAGTTCTTTTGCCTGATTTCTTGTTATCAAAGTAAAGCAAATCAAACTGGAAATGTAAAAGGTTGATTTCTGGCATCACTGATAACATCAGTGGAAGAAATATATGCTCCTGCCTATTGCAGGAGGGTTGGACTACATGACCTGTACAGGTCCATTCCAACCCAAACCATTCCATGATCTAAGAAATTATGACAGATTTGCTACTCGTATCTTAGCCAAACAGGTTCTGCACATTGCTTACCAGGAAGTCACTGCTCCTGGCAAAATGTCAAACCCAAGAATCAGCAAGAGAGAATCAGCTCTTCACCCCTGAACTGTTCTCTCACACAGATGGGTCAGTACCTTGCCTGACATTTAAAACCTATATTCCCTTACTTTAAAGATTAACTTGTCCCAAAGGAAAATGTATATAGGATATATATGATGTACATGCATTATGATACATATGATGTCTATGTGATCTATATGCTGTTTATGCAACTTATGAACGTATCTACAGGAAGCAGAATGAGTAACTACAGCTGCTACTTTCTCTCACTCTTGACTCACTTGGGCTCTGCCATAGCTGCTCTTCGGAGACCCATGATGAACTGGCCATGATGGAAAGATCTTCCACTGGCCACATGGCCATCTTCAGATGTTGGATAAGGAATTTCAACCTCTGACTTGCTCTCTAGGTCATGAATTATGTAACCATTTACTATTTGGGAATCAATACCTTCCACTGTATCTGCAAAATATAAACAAACAGATGAGTTAAGAAAAATCTTTAAGAAAGCTTAGTTAGGGATTAAGAGTATTTGTTTACATAGGGTTCAATTTTCCTAGTCAAAACACACATGCTGAAACATGAGCATCTTCAAAATGGCAGACTGGAAACACACAAGTGATTTTCATTTAAATATAAAGCACAGATAATGTATTTCTTCATTTCTCCTGCAGGCTTGCTCTGGCTAAAAACATCGTTGAGTGTAGCAAGTGTTGTGTTACAGATATATTTACATTTTGAAATGCACTCACCTTCAAGACCCAAGTCTCGAAGAGCATTAAATCCTCCAGGTTGCAACAATTCTCCAACTATCCTGTCAGGTTCTTTCAGATCCCTCTCTATCACAGTCACCTTTCTTCCATCCCTTGAGAGCACCGTGGCCAAGGAAGAGCCAAGGACACCTGATCCCACAATGATAATTTCTGGATCGCATTGGGGTGATAATGTTGTATTTAGAGCAGTCTCTGTCAGATATACATCTGAGAAGTTTACTTCTCTTTTACCCTGTAGCAAACAAAGCCAACAAAGTTACACATGCCAATGTATCTGTACCATAACCTTGTCAAGGGGCTGACTTTGGACTAGATCTACTCTGTCCCAGGGGACTGAGAGTGCACTGGTAGTTCGAGAGCATCTTCCTGTTTAGTTTTGTCCAAAATTAAATCGATCATACTCTACAATGCAACAAAACCACAACAAGCAGAGAAAAGGAAAACCAACACCCCCACAAACGAAGTCAAGAGCCTTGTGTAAAACTGTGACAAACCACCAACAAAAGTGTCAGAAAGACTGAAAGTCAAGCTGCTATTAAAGGCAGCAAGATAAGGCTGGCCCACCTTCCTGCTCTATAAAGCAAGACACTGATGCCTTCATGCCAGTGAACCACTCCCACACAGAGGTCCTAGCACTGCAATGAAAAAGGTACTAGATTTACTGGAAAGTGTGTTACTCTGGAAAACACATTTCTCCTTAATTTTACCATAAGTGAACCTACATAACTACCAAAATAACAGCTGATGGTTATTTTGTAGTTAGGTAACAACTCAGGATGAAAGTGTCAGCAGTAGCCTGGGAAATGTTATAAAGAAATGGTCCTGAAATAAAAACTCATCTGACAGTTACAAGTATAACCAAGATCACCATTCACCAACATTTAAAGCTGTTAAGGATTGACATACATGAGACTGCACATCAGTTAACATATAAACTGGTACCTGAAGACTAGCTATATCACAGAACCTTCCCAACAGAATCATAATCACATACACTTCGAAGTGAGAAAAAGTTGGAAGGGCAACTCCAGTGCAAACCTGCAAGTCATTTCTCCAGCTGGAAGATGAGAGTTCAATTTCACTCTTTCACAAATGCCTCAGCACTGGCAGTGCTGACAGTAGTAAAAAATACAATTGCATCAGTGAAACAAATGCCCAGGACACTACTAACACCAGAATTTCTGGTGTCATGTTTATATCCACAATGCAGCAAGGGAGTCTGAAACTGACTATCTGAATTCAGGTAACACAAGAACTTGGGGTAAAGATAAGCTTTACCAGAAAAAAACAAAACAAAAATCCAGAGCCTTTGACTTGCAGCCAAAACCAGTTCCAACTTCCTTTGTGCAAGGGGTCAGTGCTCACGTGAAAATGCCCAGAAGTACACAAGAAAGTAGCCAAACAGTGCTGACCACAGATGTACTGGATATGCATGTTCAGGTGGTAGCCTTGGATGGCAGGACTCCAGCTAAGCTCCAGCCACAAACTACAGCTCCCCACTGTCCCACAGCAAGGCTCATGCTGGGCTCAAGGGAACTATCTGAGCTCAGGTCCTGTTACCTATTGTCCAAGCAGTAGTTCAGCAATACTTTCCAAGTAACTCTATCTGCAGTTGTCTAGACAAATGCAGTTTATCCATAAATATTAGGAAGATCACAGAGCCACAGAATGGCTAAGATTGGAAAAGGGTCCCTGGAGAACACCTGGTCCAAAGGCCCTGTTGAAGCAGGGTCAGGGCAGACTGGCTTGGACTGTGTTTTGAGTATCTCCAAGGATGGAGACTCTGCCACCTCTCTGGGCAAGGTGTTCCAGTGCTCAGTCATCCTCACTGTAAACAGTGCTTCCTGATCATCAGAGCAAACCTCCTGTGTTTCAGTCTGTGCCCATCACCTCACATCCTGCCACTGGGCATCACTGAAAAAAACTTGGTGCAGCCCTCTGCACCCTCCCTTCAGGTATTTATACACATTGATGAAGCCCCCCTGAGCCTTCTCTTCTCCAGGCTGAGCAGTCTCACTGCCTCTCCTGATAGGAGAGACATTCCAGCCCTTCAACTCTACAACTCACTGGCAACTGAAGATATTTTTCTGCTAGTGTAATAATCCTTTACTACAAATCTTTATTCAAACACATTTGATTTGACTTTACAAAAGCCCTAGTCTACCACTTAAACAAGTCTGTTTGACATCCAAAACTAACACAAAATACGACAAATCAAACATCCAGCATCTAAAGTCAAACCCTCTCCATCCCCTTCTTAGCTCCTTCTCCTCCCCAGGGTAGAGGGTCGTAGGCAGAAGGGACAAGAAGGGTACCTTGCACCCACGTGCCAAGTCTGAATCCAACTTACCTTTCTGGATTTGGGTTGTCCAACTTGTTGAGATCCTGGGGTGGGTTTGGCCCAGAAGAAGCCAACAAGCGGCAGAGCTGAGAGAACATCAGAGAGCATCCCCAGCTGTGATTTCTGCCGCTGCTGCTGCCGCTGCCTGGGCCCCCTGAAGTGGTACCTGTAGGACAGCAGCAAGCCGAGGGAGAAAAACACTAACACGGAGAGCAGCACCTCCTTATTAGCGTAAGTCATGAAGTCTCCACACTTTTTATACACGTAGATAAAGGAGGCAATTCCCAGAAAGGTCCACATCATGAGGGTACCGGTCACTGTTCCCAGCTGTTCCTCCAAAGCTTTCCCGTCGGATGCTGCTCCAAACGGGCTATCGCAGGCAAGGGCGGAAAAAACGCACGTTCAGAAACGCGAAGATTTCCTTTGCAAGGGAAAGCGGGGAGACCTCAATGAAAACCCCCGCGGGGGAAAAAGCCGCACCTCGCCGCGCTGCCACGGGAGCCTACGCGGAGGTTCCAAAACCGCAAAAAAAAAAATCAGTATGGAATGTCCTCTCAGGAATCCGCGGGCAGCACCTTCGG